GTTAGAGGTTCACCCAACTTTTTAAATCTGTAGGTTTATATTTATACCATATATGGAATACTTTTAGGCATTATTTATTTGAGTACCAACATCTTTTCCTTTTCTCCCCAGGACTCCAATGTCTTGAATGTTAAATCTTTTATTGTAGTCACATAGGTCCTAGACTATCCATTTTTTTTTTTCTAGTCTATTTTCTCTCTACTGTCCAGAATGAGTAATTACTATTCTATTTTCAATTCAATGGTTTATTTCATCTTTCCCCTCCATTCTGTTTTTGAGCCCATCTATTGAGCTTTCTATTTCAATTATTGTACTTTTTAATTCTGGAATTTTCATTTGGTTCTTTATATTTCTAATTCTTTGCTGGGACTTTCTATTACTATACTGAGGCTTCCTATTTTTAAACTTGATTCATGTGTCTTCATAATTGTTTGCTGAAGTTTTTTATTACCACTGTTTAAATAATTGCCACATAATTTTAATATCTCTGTCATCTTGGTGTTGGTATCCATTACCTTTGTTCATTTATTTTGAGATTTTCCTATTTTCGGAATAACTACTAGCTTCCAATTTAAACCTAGACGTTTTGTACTATGTTCTTATTTAAACCTTCTATTTTAGCTGGCTTTCTCTAATACTGCTCCATCAGGGAAAATAGGGGAATTAGTTCATTGTTACTAGGTGAAGGTAGAAGCCCAGGTTCCTTATTCAGCTTTCACTGACACCTAAAGTGAGAGTCTCCTAACTACTTCTACATAGGTGAGAGTTCCAGGTTCTTCCATGGTCTCCACTGATACCTTAGTGGAGGTGGCTTTATTATTACTTGGCAATTGTGAAAGGCCTCCTCCGACAGAACCCCTGTGGGGAGTAGAGGGATGTCTCATTACAGCTGAGTCAGGGTAGAAGTCCAGACTTCTCACATGGTGTCTCACACAGATACTGCAAAAGGGCAAGAAGAATGTGATTCTCATTAACAACAAGCGGGGATTAAAGTCTTAGCTTTCTATTTGGCCATCTCTGATACCATCCCAATGGCGTGCTAGACAACTTGTTACAGCATCCTAAGAGTGAATGTCTAGGCTCTCCAATTATCCTTTGCTGGCATGGGCAGGGGTGGTACCATATTTTTTTTCTGTGATGTTTGGTTGGACTATAATAATTATTGTCCAAAAGCTTTCTATCTTTCTAGGCTTCCCCTTTTTTAGCCTTTTAGATAGGAAGAGCAGGTCTTTGTTGGGCTTTTTATGTCTGTGACTATTGCCATTTCTGGGTTTCTGGCTTATTCAGCAACAACTCTGGTTTATATGAGACACAAAGAAGACCCAGGGACCTAACCACTGTGTCATTCCTTGTGTCCTGTAGTCCTTAGCCCGTCTGCCTTCTTATTCCTGTTTATCAGCATCATCTTATGTTTGCTTTATACATAATATCCAGATAGCTTAGTTGTACCTCGTGGGACAAAATAGGATAAATTATAGTAACTCTATCTTCCCAGAAGCATAAGGCTTTATTTTTAGTTTTAGTTTCAGTTCTGGGGTACATATGCAGTATGCGAAAGTTTGTAACATAGGTAAACGTGTGCCATGATGGTTTGCTGGACCTATCAACCCATCACCTAGTTATTAAGCCCAACATGCATTAGCTATTTTTCCTAATACTCTCCCTCCCCCCACCCCACCCGCTGACAGGCCCCAGTGTGTTTTTTGCCTCCCTGTGTCCATGTGTACTCATTGTTCTGCTGTTACTTATAAATGAGAACATTTGGTGTTTGGTTTTCTGTTCCTGCATTAGTTTGCTGAGAATTATGGCTTCCAGCTTCATCCATGTCCCTGCAAAGGACATGATCTCATTACTTTTTGTGACTGCATAGTATTCCATGGTATATATGTACTACATTTTCTTTATCCAGTCTACCATTGATGGACATTTGGGTTGACTTCATGTCTTTGCTATTGTGAATAGTGCTGCAATAAACATACACATGCACGTATCTTTGTATAGAATCATTTATATTTCTTTGGGTATCTACCCACTAATGGGATTGCTGGGTCAAATGGTATTTCTCGTTCTAGATCTTTGAGGAATTGCCACACCATCTTCCACAATGGTGGAACTAATTTACATTACCACCAACAGTGTAAAAGTGTTCCTCTTTCTCTGCAACCTCGCCAGCATCTGTTGTTTCTTGACTTTTTAATAATGGCCATTCTGACAGGTATAAGATGGTATCTCATTGTGGTTGTGATTTGTATTTCTCTAACAATCAGTGATATTGATCTTTTTTTTCATATGTTTATTGACTGCATGAATGTCTTCTTTTCAGAAGTGTCTGTTCATGTTCTTTGCCTGTTTTTTAATGGGGTCGTTTGTTTTTACCTCATAAATTTGAGTTCCTTGTAGATTCTGGATATTAGACCTTTGTCAAATGGATAAATTGAAAAAATTTCTCCCACTCTGTAGGTTGCCTGTTCGTTCTAATGATAGTTTCTTTTTCTGTGCAGAACTTATTAGTTTAATTAGATCCCATTTATCAATTTTTGCTTTTATTGCAATTGCTTATGGTTATTTCATCATGACATCTTTGCCCATGTCTATTTCCTGAATGTTATCGCATAGATTTTCTTCTAGGGTTTTTATAGTTTTGACTTTTACATTTAAGTCTTTAATCCATCTTGAGTTAATTTTTTAATAAAGTATGAGGAAGGAGTCCAGTCTCAATTTTGAGCAAATGGATAGCCAGTTCTCCCACACCATTTATTAAATGAGGGATTATTTCCCCATTGCTTCTTTTTGTGACATTTGTCAAAGATCAGATGGTTGTAGATGTGCAATCTTATTTCTGAGTTCTCTATTCTGTTCCATTGGTCTGTGTCTGTTTTTGTACCATTAACATGCTGTTTTGGTTATTGTAGCCTTACAGTTTAGTATAAAGTCTGGTAGCATGCGGGCGCCTGTAGTCCCAGCTACTCGGGAGGCTGAGGCAGGAGAATGGCGTGAACCCGGGAGGCGGAGCTTGCAGTGAGCTGAGATCCGGCCACTGCCCTCCAGCCTGGGTGACAGAGCGAGACTCCGTCTCAAAAAAAAAAAAAAAAAAAAAAAAAAGTCTGGTAGCATGATGCCTCCAGCATTGTTCCTTTTGCTTAGGATTGTCATGGCTATATGGGCTCTTTTTGGTTCCATAAAAAATTTGAAATAGTTTTTTTTTTTTTTAATTCTGTGAAGAATTTCAATGGTAGTTTAATGGGAATAACATTGAATCTATAAATTACTTTGGGCAGTATGGTCATTTTCATGATATTGGTTCTTCCTTTCCATGAGCATGGAACATTTTTTCATTTGTTTGTATCCTCTCTGGTTCCCTTGAGCAGTGGTTTGTAGTTCTCCTTGAAAACGAACTTCACTTCCCTTGTTAGCTGTATTCCTAGGTATTTTATTCTTTTTGTAGCAATTGTGAATGTGGGTTCATTCATGATTTGGCTCTCTGCTTGCCTGTTGTTGGTGTATGGGAATGCTTGTGACTTCTGCACATTGATTTTGTATCCTGAGAATTTGCTGAAGTTGCTTATCAGCTTAAGAAGCTTTGGGGCTGAGATGATGGTGTTTTCTAGATATAGGATCATGTCACCTGCAAACAAAGACATTTTGATTTCCCCCCTTCCTATATGAATACCCTTTATTTATTTCTCTTGCCTGGTTGCCCTGGCCGGAACTTCCAATACTATGTTGAATAGGAGTGGTGAGAGAGAGCATCTTTGTCTTGTGCCAGTTTTCAAGGGGAATGCTTCCAGCATTTGCCCATTCAATATAATATTGGCTGTGGGTTTGTCATAAATGGCTCTTATGATTTTGAGGTATGTTCCTTCAATACCTAGTTTACTGAGAGTTTTTGACATGAAGGGATGTTCAATTTTATTGAAGGCCTTTTCTGCATCTATTGAGATAATCATGTGGTTTTTGTCTTCAGATCTATTTATGTGATGAATTATATTTATTGATTTGCATATGTTGAACAAGACTTGCATCCTGGGAATGAAGCCAACTTGATCGTGGTGGATAAGTTGCATGATGTGCTGCTGGATTTGGTTTGCCGCATTTTATTGAGAATTTTTGCATCAATATTCATCAGGGATATTGGCCTGAAGTTTTCTTTTTTTGTTGTATCTCTGCCAGGTTTTGGTATCAGGATGATGCTGGCCTCATATAAAGAGTTAGAGAGGGGTCCTTCTTTTTCAATTATTTGGAATAGTTTCAGAAAACATGGTACCAACTCCTTTTTATATTTCTGGTAGAATTCAGCTGTAAATCCAACTGGTCTTGCACTTTCTTTGGTTGGTAAGCTATTTATGATTGCCTTAATTTTGGAACTTATTATTGGTCTATTGAGGGATTCAACCTCTTCCTGGTTCAGTCTTTTTTTTTTTTTTTTTTTTTTTTTTTTTTTTCTTTTTTTTTTTTTTTTTTTTAATTTTTTTTAATTTTTTTAATTTTTTATTATTATACTTTGAGTTCTAGGGTACATGTGCATAACGTGCAGGTTTGTTACATACGTATACTTGTGCCATGTTGGTGTGCTGCAGCCATCAACTCGTCAGCACCCATCAACTCGTCATTTACATCAGGTATAACTCCCAGTGCAATCCCTCCCCCCTCCCCCCTCCCCATGATAGGCCCCGGTGTGTGATGTTCCCCTTCCCAAGTCCAAGTGATCTCATTGTTCAGTTCCCACCTATGAGTGAGAACATGCGGTGTTTGGTTTTCTGTTCTTGTGATAGTTTGCTAAGAATGATGGTTTCCAGCTGTATCCATGTCCCTACATGGGAGGGTGTATGTGTCCAGGAATTACCTGTTTTCTTTAGATTTTCTACTTTATTTGCATAGATCTGTTTATAGTATTATCTGATGGTTGTTTATATTTCTGTGGGTCAGTGGTGATGTCCACTTATTCATTTTTTATTGTGTCTGTTTGATTATTCTCTCTTTTCTTCTTTATTAGTCTAGCTAAAAATATGGAACACTTAATGAATTTGCGTGACATCCTTGTGCAGGGGCCATGGTAATCTTCTCTGTATTGTACCAATTTTAGTATATGTGCTATCAAAGCGAGCACAGCATAAGGCTTCTAAAACCATTTTTAAAATAAAAATTGTGTCCAGTTGGGTACCTCTTCCACTGGTAGAAAGTAATGAGCTCACTTAAGATCACTGAAACATCACAGGAAAGACTAGAGCTCATTCACAGTAGCTTCCATCTCATCGTAGTTTGATGCAGTCTGTTGGTAATGATAAATATTTTTCTAGACACAATTTCTCTTGATTGGTTAGCTGAAAGGCAGGAAAGCTTTTCAGTCTCCCTATGTGGACTGAGCTGATTGTGAAGAGACCACAGAAAACTTATCTTTTCCTTGATGGCATCAGACTCAATAGAATCTACTTAGGGACCGTACACAGGAAAGCAAGATGGGGCTAACTAAAGTAATGTAGGAAAAAAGTATTCTCTTGTACCTGATGATCCCCCTTTGGCAAAGGGGAATCTCTGTCACTTAAATATCTATGTCTCTAAAGGAACCTGCTAAAGGTTACTGCTAAATATTGGGAAATTGGTTTTACCATTAGATTTTTGCTTGATACTACATTGCAGGGGCTGCTTCCCAAGGCACAAAAGTGTTAGATAAATGTTTTCCTCAATAATTACACAGTAACAACTGAATGTGTAACTACATGACACCTTGTCAAAACTCAATAATAATTACATAGTACTTTCGTTTTCCTCAACTAGTGCTAATATATCAGAGAAACAGGTATACTAAATCATAATGCTTTAGTGATGACATATTTATTTACTAAATCATCAAGTATGACATGAAATTTCTTCTTAAGTTATATTTAACAAGATACATAGTAATTTCATTATTTTCTGCTGTTTGCTATGTGAAGTAAACCTCCAAATTTTTAAAGTTTCAAGTGTCTCTTGTGGTTGTTATTATTCTTGTTTTTGTCAGATCAAAGAAAATGTCACCTGTTCTAGCAGTTGCTGAGAAATTGACCCTCTTTGCATGAAATGTAAGCACTGGATCTCATAGGACAAGTAAAACTTCTTTTTTTTTTTTCTTTTTTTTTTATTTATTATTATACTTTAAGTTGTAGGGTACATGTGCATAACGTGCAGGTTTCTTTAACTTGATTATTTTATTCAATAAGTCTCTATACTGCACATTCTAAAGCTCACACTACTTTGCTCATTCTGTGTTACTTAAACTTCTGTAATTTCCTCTACTCCTAATCACCAGACTGTATAGAACAAACAAAGATAAATACTTGCATTAAGTTGCAGACAACTTTAACAATCTGATTTTACAAAAGTCAGAAAGTAATTGTTTTTCCTGGTGATCCTTATTTGAAATGAAGCAGTTCAATGGCAGGCAAACAGCATTGTTGACACACTAAGCCAAGGTCTCTCAATCTCAGTACTAAACATTCAGAATCTGAAAGATTTTTTTGGTGGAAGAAGGGGCTGTCCTGTGCTGTTTAGTAGTACACCATTGGCCTTTACCAGCTAAATGTCAGTAGCATTTCCCACCAGTTGTCACAACCAAAAATGGCTCCAGACATTACCAAATGTACCCTAGGGGGCCAAAATTATCCCTAGTATGTATACTCTAAAAAAAGATTAAATGGAAGTTAAATAACGTTCTGATGGAGATTGCAGTATAGTCAAATTCTACCACATATTAGCCCATTAATGAAGTGAAGTTATTCCAGAAGAACATTTCCTGAGAAGAAAGCTGTATCCCCTGCCCATTTGTAGTTAAGTGCCAATAGGGAGTTTATGTCACCTCCTGAAGGCCCAATTCTTTGCCTGATATAAAAAGTATGGTTACATTATCCTGTGCCTAGAAACTAAAACCAAGAGATGTTGGTAAATGTATAGGGAATACAGGTGAATAATTAAAAAAGAGAAAAAACATAAACAATACATAAATATTAGTCTGTAAGATTCAGTACTGACATAACATATGAGTAACACATGAGCAATAAACTTTTTAAAAAGTCTTGTGAGTACATAGTAGGTGTATATATTGTGGGGTACATGAGATGTTTTGATACAGGCATGCAATGACTAATAATCAAATCATCGAAAATGGGGTATTCATCCCCTCAAGCATTTTTCCTTTGTGTTACAAACAATCCAGTTATACTCATTTAGTCATTTTAACTGTACAATAAATTATTTTTACTTGTAATCACCCTGTTGTGTTATCAAATACTAGGCCTTATTTATTCTTTCTAACTACTTTTTGTATCCATTAACCATCCCCATCCCCCACAACCCCCATTACCCTTCCTAGCCTCTGTAAATCACTCTTCTACTCAGATGAACCGTACATTTAATGGAAAATGTACACACTCACCTTGCATTTTATAGAAGACCTGGAGCTCATAGCTGTTCTTTAGATTATAAGTCTATTGCAACTGATTTTTTTTTTGTCTTTTCCTGACTTCTGAATAGTTGATACTAGGAGTCAATAGGGTAATAGCCAAAGTTTAAGATCAAAAGCCTCTGATAGTTGAAATTGCAACCCCCACCCAATCCCTGTGGAGAGTCCTAAGGAGATACCAGGTCTTATCAGAGAGCAACAACTCTCTTGTCTGTCTTTGGCAAACTAGCGAGTAACAAAGGCCAATTTATATTGCATAGAACTAAAACATATTATAATTTTCTATAACAAGGTGAAGCATTAGTTTTAAAATATGTATGCACAATCAAGAAAAAATGGTGCATAAGTGAAAAAGGCAAGGTACTATTTGGTTAGGGGATGGATTACAGCCTCCAAATATGTCAAGGAATGGCTTGCAGAAAAGTTCTTCTCTTGTTTTATACTATCATGTGATAGGCAAAGTCATTTCTTAATTACTCTTCACAGCTTCTAATCCCCTAGACTTGTTTACTATATGGAATCATAATGAAAGATGCAAGAACAACAAGCTATGACACTATAATGACACTTGAGGCTGTACTTAAGTTATAATCCAAGTTATATGTCATGGCAGATCAAGCACTTCTTTTGTAAATACTTTTTGTTAAATCATAAAGTTCCATACTAGGGGGAACATAATTAACTCTATGATCTAAATTTAGAAAGATAACCAGGAATTAAATATCCTGTTGAAAGTTTATTTTCAGAACAAGGTAAAATCATGACTTTCATACAGACACAAAAATTGATTAAAGATTTATTTTATTCATATGGTATGAGGGAACCAGGCCGATATTATAACTGGTTCAAAATAAAATTCAAAAGAGTTAAAATTTGTATGGAGTAGAGGAACATTGACAAATGGAGACAAAACTGGTTTTTCCAAGGTGAAGTGGAGGAGCCAAATGTCCAACAGACAGAGTAGAATTTATGTATCAGTTACCTTCAACTTACAAGGAGTTGCAAAATAATTCAGACAAGGAACAATGAACAATGAACAGAACAATGATTTTGCTTAAATCAGGCCTAAAGGATACACTAGAGATGATGTATCATTTCCCACAGAAACATCAATTTTTACTAAAATTCCCCTACTTTTTGATCAAAAAAGCCTGAAAATTATCTTGATCAAAAAATAAAACATATCATTAGACTGGATCTAATTATTTATGAAGGTGCAGCAAGTGTGCTAATTTGCCATATGAACCTTCTTAAGTTTATTTTGATGGACGTTTTCATAAAGAATCTCAGATTGGACTTTTAAAAGCTCCTTATTACGTGTGGACCTGAGACTAGGAAACAAGGATTTTGCCAATAGTACCTACAAATATGGGTGAATTTCTTTCTTTCTTTTTTCTTTTTTTCTTTTTTTTTTTGAGACAGAGTCTCACTCTGTCACCCAGGCTGGAGTGCAGTGGTATGATCTCAGCTCACTGCAACCTCCACCTCCCAGGTTCAAGCGATTCTCCTCCTCAGCCTCCCAAGTAACTGGGACTACAGGCACCCGCCACCATGCCTGGTTAATTTTTTCTATTTTTAGTAGTGACACGGTTTCACCATGTTAGCCAGGATGGTCTAGATCTCCTGACCTCATGGTCCGCCTGCCTCGTCCTCCCAAAGTGTTGGGATTATAGGCGTGAATCACCACACCTGGCCAGAATTTCTTTCTTTTTAAGGTTTTCAAAACATCCTAAAGTCCTTGACTTGCCAGAAAGCGACCTTCCTTACTCATCTGTAAGTCTGAGAACCCTGGAAGCCAGGTACCATTCCAGTTTTCCCAAGTTTACTTTGTAAGCATTGGCTTTATAAAGTCAGCTTTGGTGCTTTAAAAGTATCTGTTCATATCTAATTGAACAAGCATAATTTTCACCTATACCATCCTAGGCAAGTCCTTGGTTCTACAACAGATGTTTCCAATTATTCTCCAATAAAAGGAGAATAAATTCTTACTGCAACTATGCAAATCACTACATTGCTAGGAAAATAAAAATATTCAATAAGAGTTTCTGAATTCTGAAGGGCTCAACAAGGAGAATAAAATACCATTTATAAATATTTCATTTCAGTTTATAAAAGTAGAGTCTACTAAATTATTATGAGTTATAGTGTAAAGGTACAAAAGTGTGATACCTTTCCTCACCAATCATAAGGGTAACAGGCAAGACTCCTATAACAAAAGATAGGTTAACAAGAGACAAGCATGACAAATTTATTTAATCAAAATTGTACATGACACAGGAGCCTTCAGAAATGAGGACCCCCAAACCTAGAGGAAGCTGCCCATATACTTAGGTTCAATAAAGAATGTATAGCCATGTAGAAATGTGATTAGACAAAAGAGTATGACCTAATGGTAATAGATTGAGTGGGGGGATCCAGCAAGGCCTATCTGTTCAGAGACCGGTTGATCTCTCTGTGTAGCATTCCTTCTTCCTCAGTATGAGACATGACCCCTCTGGAATGAAGGTCTTCAAGGAAAAGGGGAGCAGGGAGAGAGTTACCTTTCTAGGTTTAATGGCTTGCTTTTGGGGAGAGGGTTTCTAGTTTTCATGACCCTCTTTGGAGAAGAGGAATTCTGGGTTCCATGACTTGCTTTGTGGGAGAATGAGGAGGAGGAGACAAGAGAATGTAAG